TGTTGCTTCCAAACAAACTAATCTAGAAGCCATATACACGGATTTTTCTTTTCACTTCATTTCATCAAACATAAAATCTCTGCTTTCAAAGTGCTTTGATAGTGACTATAGCATCTTTTATGTTTTTTTATGTATCAAATCTGTACATTTTCCGCAGGGCTTATCTTATTCATGAAAAAATAAAATAAAAACAACGCATAGATTTGTTTTGGCACACACAGCCTTCAGCAGAGCGTGCAAAATCAATTCAATGAAGAGTCTGTGCAGATGCACATGTCTGCACACCATCGCGCTCACACTGCAACGCATGAGTATTGCTCTTTGGCTCAGTGCATCGCATACTCTCCCTCTGCTTACGTTTGACCAATGTTTTGCTTTGGAACTCAAACATTACCTTGTCAATATTTAGTCAGAACATTTGGTACAGTATGAGATAAAACAAGTCTTAGCTTATTTTTGGCAATAATATTGACATTTTAAAGGAGAAGGAAGTAGCATCACATATTTAGGGCACTGTCCTTTTCGTTTCTTCCAGTATTGCAGTGAAGAAAATTATCTTGACATGCATTAGATTGAACAAGTTTATTTAATGTTGGAACATTTACTTATAAATTTCATTTAAAATAGCACTCATGGCCTATGGTTGTCATGGCATCATGGTTCAGTCCAAATTTGTCCAAATTCACTTATGTACCCCCTTATGTTCCAACCTTGTGTTTGTGCTGGACAAACAATGAGTAGCACAGAAGTCCAACAACACTGATCGGGTTCTGATCAGAGAGGCCGTTCCTTCAAATCACGCCCCTCTAAGTTGCGCTGTTGTTACCTGCGTGGGCATTGAAGTGCCCCGGCAGAATAAAGGAGTCCAGCACCCCCGCTATGGACTCCAAGAAGGCTGGATACTCTGAACTGCTGTTTAGGGCATATGTACAAACAATCATCAGAGAAACCCCCCCCCCCCCACCCCCCGGAAGGTGTAGGGAAGCTACCGTTTCATCTACTAGAGAAAACGCCTGACACACACAGGCACCAAGTCAGTGGGCTAAGAGTAGACCCACACCAGCTTCTCTCATCATGGGCAACTCCCGAGTGAAATGAGGTTTCACCACTCTCAAGGAGATTAGTTCCGGAGCCCATGCTGTGCATCAAGGTGAGCCCAACTATATCTAGTTGGTACTTCTCAAACTCACACACAAGCTCAAGCTCCTTCCCCACCAGGGAGGTTACGATACATGTCCCAAGAGCCAGATTTGGTAAGCCAGGGTCAGAGCGCCAAGGCCCAAGCCTTCAGCCACTGCCCATGGAGTCATGCACCCAACTCGTATGGTCCATCCTGCAGGTGGTGGGCTTATAGGAAGGCAAACCCCTGTTGCCCATTTGGGCTGAGACTGACCGGGCCCCATGAGTAGAGACCCGGTCACCAGGCACTCGCCAACAAGACCCTCCCCCAGGGAAACCTCATCAGGGGCAATTACTGTTGCCCTCAACAGCATAGCTCCTAGGATCCTTCAGGCACACAAACTCCTCTACCACGATAAGATGGCGATTCAAGGAGGAGATCAAATAGCTGTATTTATTGAAATGGTCTTTTTACTCGCTGTCTCAGTGACTCATCTTTGTATTCCACAAACTGCATGACACATAAAAGTCAGTCTTCACAGAGCTCCACAGATTGCTTGTAATGGCTACTCCACTGATTTTACCCACAGAGTGCCTTACCTGGTCTTTAGTTTGACTCATTGCTTGTACAGATATGAACACTTTGATGGGAAAATAAACCACAGCACCCAGAGTTTTGGCAGTAAGCAACACTTGTTCTTTATGACAAAATAAGTTCAAATATTTCCATGAAGAAACTAGACACAGATTAATGTGATTAAGGCTGTTAGTGCCTCAATAATTTGGGTTGGCTCTACTCCCTGTTATTGCAAATTAGTTTGGAATAAAAGCTAACATGATGCTTTATAAAAGTTGTTTAACTAAAGTATTATTATTTTTTTATATTGTCTGGGTTACTTTACTTTGTCGGTTCCAAAAATATTTAGTATCACTTTAGCTTGCTTTAAGCACAATTTTAGGAGCTTTTCTTTAAACTTTAAACATGAAACTGGGAGTCTGTCAACAAGCTCAGCCCTTCTCTCATTTACTGATTCCCTGATGCAGCTGAGTTGGAACTACTAGCTGTGATAACGAACCTTTAAGATGACTGTAATTACTCAGTGTTTATCCTGCACCATTGTCCCCACATCTGAACAGTTTTTATCTTAGAAGAAACATGAGGATCGTAAGCTTAAACTGTACTTCACACGCTTTTCTGTGGAAGCTCAGTTACAACTTCCTTATTACCCATGAGCGACAGCAAGCGAGCGTGCAGAGTCTCAGTCCAGTTTTCTTTTGGCCTTGGCCTACTTGCCTGAACTCTGCAGTGTTGTTCTGTCTCCCTTGCCTCCTCCTGTTCTCCTCAGTGGGAGTTTCACTGATATTCTCTGTCACAATCCTGACACAGCACTTCCTCAGTCTCGGCTCGCTCCTGCCTGGGGCTCTGACTGCTTCTTTTGGACAATGCCCATCTTTGTTTGCATCTCCCTCTCAATTTGGGAATCCAGGCATGGCTGGTAACCACTGGTGGATCAGGATGATGAGGTCACTGTCTCGGTTTGGCCTGCCCTTGCCACTGTCACTGCTCCCCCCTTCCCAAACCCAACCCAAACCCAACCCTTCTGATACAATGGAATCTTTCTCCTTTAGGCTTTTATTGTGCAGACAGACGGACGGACGGACAGACAGAGTGGAGGCAAGCGTTTGCGTGTCAGAGACATCCTGCTTTTGTTTTATAAATGTAACCAGTATCAACGGTTGATTCCATCACTAATTAATCTTCCATCTTGTTTAATGTTCATTTAAATGTGAAATGTCTCCGTTTTCCATGTTTTGACCTAGTTAGGCTGGCCTGCATCTCTCTTGCTTGAAAACAGCAATGTTACACATTCACTTTGGCTTTCTAACAATGTTGTTAGGCTGCATAGTTTGTTGTTTGTCAGTTTGTGGTTTGAGTGTGCCGGCAGTCTTTTACTTTCAAAATGAATTTTAAACTGAAAACACTTTCACTTTTACAGCAGCTCAAATAGCCCCCCCCCCCCCCCCCAACCCTGAATCAGGTTTGATGAAGCAGGGAAATGGCTAAAACATACAGGACAGTAGGCCACTAGGACCAGGGTTGGGGATCTCTGTAATAACAGAACAGCATCTTTCCCTAAAACAGGAACTTCAGCCATCATTGTTAGATCTTCATAAAAAGGTGCCAAGAAAGAAAAATGTTCCCCCTTGGCAAAGTTAGTTTCTTCCTAAAGTGATTCTTCACCTATGTGAAAATGGAGTTTGTATGAAAACTCTCCATTTTCTCAGCCTGTGAAAACACAAGCAGCTTAAAACAAGTCATCTCAAGGAGGGCAGCAATGCAATTACATCCTTGTTTCTTTTTTTAATTTTTATCTTAATTTGCAGTTACAGCATTACATCTTAAATGCTTTATTATTAATTTGACTTGATTATACTTCAGTTTTTCTTTTGCACAATAATGCTCTCAGTGACTCAGTGGTTTTAGCACTGCTGCCTCACAGCAAGAAGGTCCTGGGTTCAAACCCCAGTTGGACCTGGGGTCTTTCTGTGTGGAGTTTGCATGTTCTTCTCGTGCTTGCATGGGTTTTCTCCAGATTCTCCGGTTTCCTCCCACAAACCAAAAACATGCATGTTAGGTAGGCTGCCTTCAGGCCCAGGCCTCCCTTGCAAAACAGATCTGTGATTTCAGTGGGTTTTGCCTGGTTAAATAAAGGTTAATAAAAAATAAAATAAATAAATGTTTTAATTATTATTATTATTTTGTTTTTACTGAAATAAAAGGTTTTCCTCAATAATAATAACCACAACAAAAACTTATAAATGGTAGAAAACAAGTCCCGTTTTTCTTGTTTAGTTGGTTCCATTCACTTGTATGAAAACTTGGCTAAAATTTTCAAATGCATGTAGGCATTAAAAAAAAATGTTGACACATTAATCATAAGAGTTCTGTTGTAGCTCACATTTAGACTGGTGTTTGAAAAGCTCAATAATAATTATTTTATTATACAGGCTATGACATACAGATGCTCAGAAAATTGAACCCCATTTAAAAAATCCTAAGTAAACTGACAACCTGACAAACTTGATTCTTTTTGAAAATCTTTAGCTGTCAGTACACGAGGCAGCAGTAGCTTGAAACAAGCCAGAAGAGTTCATCTCTTTGAATCATTGTGTTTTACAGGACATCCTTCAGTACAACCCGTTTCCTTCTTTTTTTTAATTACAGCTGTTTGTCACGTTTAAGTTTTTACTGACTTTTTTTAAAGACAAAATCATTTTCCGTTAGGACATTCTTTCCGAATGGTACAGCACTGCTATGGGCTTTTTTTTTTACTAATGCTTTTTTCGATATGTGTATACCTTTTGAACTTGTTTTCATTATTGGCGCCAGATTGTTAAGATTGATATGCTATTTGATTACCATTTATAACTATTCTTCTTTATTCATGCTTTGTGTTGGATGACTTTATTTTCAGTTATCCTGGAATTATGTACAATGATGGACGAAATGTTGCCATGAATAATATTTACATACCGTATTTCGCTGGTGCCATTTGTGCATCATCAGTAAAACAATATAGGAATTCAAAACCTTTAGCTCAGTTTGTTTATATTTGCAGTTATCTCTTAAAGTTTGTTATAGTTATTATACTATTGAGTTGCATGATTCAAAAATATGTAAAAGAAAATCCTTAAAATTCTGGTATGGATCTTTTTTTTTTTTTTTTGCAGCTGTTAGGTAGTCCATTGTTCCTGAAAGGAAAATTTGGTCTCTAATAACCATTTGACCAAATTATCAATAAAGAATATGTTTTTTGTGTGAAATGGTTATATACAAATAGTTTTACTTATTTATTTGTGTCCTTGTTCTCCTCCTGTAGCACCTGGTCCACTGGGATGCTGGAAACCCCGAGTGTTTGCTGCAGCTGGTGAAGGAGCTCATCCAGCAGTACCATCAGTACCAGTGCCAGCGCCTGCGTGAGAGCTCCAGGCTGCTGTTTGAGTATGACAGCTTGCTAGAAGATCCAAACTACGGACAGAATTTAGAAATTTATGCAGGACGGAAAAACAGCTGGGTAAAAACCTGCTTATGGACTTTATGTTTAAACATTTTATACAAACTTGCAAGTAAAAAAAAAAAAATAGTTTGTCAGCTCTGCACAATGTATTTGAAATCCTATCTAACTATAAAAAATACTGACATGATCTAATTCTACCAAAATCAAATGGAAACAGAAATAAACAAACATTAAAAACAATCACAGGAAACATAAAACCAAACTTCCTGCTTATTTTTATTAAAAATGTTGGTGTCTGACAAGTAAGAATCATGAGTTTTTGATTTGGACAAATATTTCTGGACACGTCACAACATGTCCCCACTTCTTGGCTCTAGTGTCAGCACAAAGACATGTGACCTATGACAAGAGACAGATAAACAGTGCAAGAGTAAAAATAAAACATTTTTTTGCAGTGTATTTAATTTCAACAAATATATTCTAAATAAATTGGGCTTTAAAGTGATAACATCCTCCCCTATTAATGGAGCTATGAAAACCATTACAAAAAGACGTTTTCTGAAAAGTCCAAATCAAGTAAAATTGCTGAAAATTTCGAATAACTAATGACATTTATTTGTTTTCTGGTTATAGAACAGCTAAGTAATATGTATTGTTAAAGATGTGCATGCACAGTGTTTTCTGGTGTTTTGTTTTTGTAGTCTGTTAAATTATTACATAGACTTAGTGGAAAACTGTTTATTTGCTTTCCTGAATGTTTTAATTATTTTGTTATGGCTGTCATGGGGAGTACATGACTAGAATTGTTTAGGAGGACACAATATATTTTAGTATATTGTCTCATTTGTAATTATATTCATGTGTGTTTCTGTTTCACATTATATTCTAATCTACAGCGACAAAAAGCTGACAGTAAAGTCTTCCTAATACAGTAATGTAACTGTGGGGGGAAAAAGACTCATACAAAAGCTGAATGTTAGTTTATGGGTTTTAAAAAAGTAAATAAATTAAAAGTTGAGAATAAAAATGAATATTCTAAAAGTGCTGACATTCACAAACGCCAAACTGTTAAAGCACGTCTAAACATCGGTCTTGATTAGTCAAAGGATCTTTGCAGATTTGTTGTTTTTCATAGTTTCTTTTGTAATATTTTATTTTTTTCTACAGTGTATGTGGTTTAATAATAAAACCAAAGCCCCTTAATGACATTAAAAAAAAAAAAAAAAAAATTCCTAGAAGATTTACTGGCTAAATTTACTTTTGAGTTGCACAGAAACAAGTTAAACGGTCAGTGCTCAAATAAGATGCTCTCTGATAATTTAAAAGAGAATGGGTTTAGAAAAAAAAACAAAAACTATAGCATCTACTGTATTTATTGGACTATAAGACACTTAAAATACTTTTAATTTTCTCAAAAATTGACAGTGAGTCTTATAATCTGCTGCGCCTTATATATTAATTCTGGTTATGCTTACTGACCCCAAACTTATTTTATATGGTACACGGCGCTCAAAAATCTGTCAAAATGAACTTGTTTTGCTTAATGCCTTGTAATCCTTTATAGTCTGAAAAATACAGTATAGTTAAAAGTTGGCATATTAAAATTTAAAGTCAAATGTTTGTTTTCCAACCTTACTACTCCACTGTCAGTATAAAAACTCTAATATTTAATGTATTTAAATGTTTTTGTTCTATATTTTATGCATATTCTAACATTTTTTTTATCCCATTTCCTGTTTTTCCAGACAGGAGAGTTTTCAGCTCGCTTCCTTCTTAAACTCCCTGTGGACTTCAGCAACATCCCTGTGTATCTCCTTAAGGTAGTTAACTCCAACCTCGCAGCAGCGTCTCACACCTCGGTCATTAGAAAAGCACACACCCTCACCAGATTCTGCAGACGGTGCAGCACACCCAGGGACTGTGTCGATGTATTAGTCATAACGTGAGCTTGCCTCAGTTATTACAAGTGTTTGTTTGTTTACATGCACGTGTGTTGGTGTGTTTTGAATATTTTCTGGAATAATAGTGGGATTTATTAAAAAGAACTCCAGTGCAGCTGAGTGTGCACAGACCCCGGTGTTGTGGGTCTGTGAGTTGACTAATCAGCAAGCCGTCACTGTCGATCTGCTCCGAACTGTGTCAGTGTCTGCAGGCAGCATAGCCTGAAAGTGCACGTGCACTCTCTGTCTCTGGATTTATATATTTTCCCCACTGTTGCTGGAAAAGCGCTGGAGGCATTGAGTCTCTGGCCACTTGCAGCCTGGTCCCGGCATGTGAAGGGAGCTGATGGTAAGCATACGGGAAGCGGCAGCCATCATCAGCGTTTGTTGCCTTATCTGTCAGACCTGAAGCTCCGAGACTCGTCTCTTTTTGCCAGCTGTGAATGGACTCGTCAAGTCAGTCACATTTCACCGACACATTTCCTTCCATACTACATTTCCTTCCATACTGGGAATTTTATTTAATTTATTTTTGTCCCTGTGTGTTTTTAGCCAAGAAAAGATTTAAACTGAGCCCTGAGGGGAGCTCTAGTGGTGAGATTTTATTTATGTTTTGTTTTTTCAGACATGCTTGCTGTCACTTGCAGAAGCAATTCATATACTGATTGACCTTTAACCAGTGGGTGGTGATAGTTGTAAACACATTAAAAACATTGTAAAGTAATTCACTAAAATATAAATATATTTTATATAAAGCAAATCTTGGAAGTGCATTAATATTCCTGTCACTCTCATCATTATTTTCTGCTGCACACTTATACCCTCACAGTATTGTGCTGCATTTGGCAGCGAGGGTATACATAGTATCACTAAGGGAATGCTTGAAGACTTGAAGAGAGGAAAGTAATGAACATCATCAGCCCACACCTTGTCCACCTACGCATTACAGAGGAATGGGACTGTGCCGTATATAGGTTGGACTGGACTGCGTCCCAAAACCGATGACCCGAATTTTCATTTTGACAGTTGTCATGCAATTGCTTCTGTCAGTGTGTGTGCAGTCTCAAAGTCAATTGTTTTCATGCATTGCACATTTCTGCTCTGCAACAAAATTCATAGTGTTGCAGAGCAGCTGAAGTGTAATGAATGCATTTCCTCACTTGCTTCAGCTGAGCAGATGAATATAGCAAATAACAATTTTATATAAAAGAGCTTTGATGCTACAAGTTTGTTCAAATAAGACTGTTCATACTCATCAGGTTACAGTTCATGCACATGATTTGTATAACTGATATACTCGTAGCCAAACAAGTTAAACCTAACTGGTAAGCTCAAAGTTGAAACCAAGCAGGAATAATTGTCTCATCTTATCAAGATAAAGGTCTTCACGTACTGTATGTGTTGACGTTCAACATGTTTAGACTCACAAGAAACATGAGGACAAGCACATTTTACAAGGGTTATTCCACTGTCACGACAGTAGTCCCTCGTTACTTCGCGGTTCGTTTTTTGTGGACTCGCTCTATCGTAGTTTTTCAAAATAAGACTGGACATGACAAACAGTTGGCTGGTTGATGGATAAGCCACATGATCGGCATGGGTTTTTTATGTAAAATAAATTATTTTAAATTATTTAGCACCTGCTGCATCTGTGTGCAGCCCACAGCTGCAGGAGAAGCTTCCTCCTGCAGCGTGTCATATCTCCGCTCTGCAGCGGAGAAGTGGGTGTGGCCGAGAGTACAGCTGGATAGGCCTGTCGCGATAAACGATAAATCAATTAATCACAGGATGAATGAAAATTATCAGCCTCATTTTCATTTATTGGCTTTATCGTTTATTCGTGTCTCTTTCTACTGAAGACACGGCTCAACTCCGGTGATCTTCACTGACCCCTCTTTTTCTCTTCAAAATCTGTTTTAACCGTCCAAAATCGTGTTTTTGGATCGTTGAAAGCAGCTAAGCTACGAGCTAAGCTAACAGGCCGACCTCAGGGAAAAGAGCTCCAAAATTCATGGTTGGAACCTGTGCCTTCGTGTAAAAAGTTGTTTTTCTCTGCAAAAAGAAGCTGAGAACTTGTTTACTGATTTTTTTTAAATTAAAAGCTTTGTATGAAAAATGCTATGCTAAAGAGCTCAAACCACACCGAGCGTCCCCCATGTCGACGACACAAACAGGTGGGATCCCAAAGCAGATGTGCTTGTCAGAGCTGTCTGCGTGTCTCAGTAATTCAGAAGAATGCAGGCAGAAAAAGGGTTTAAATGCTTTGTTACGGCCATGAAAGGAGAAACACCTCTCAGCTCCGAATCTTCTGCCCCGTTTATTCAGCTGTGCGTCCCCGACCGTTAATAATTAATTTAAAATGTCAGGTTTTTTTTCCGGGTTTGGACATGTAATTACTGTTCATTCATTGGGTCAGGTGGGGTTCTGAAATTATGACTGCGGGCTGGGGCAGGGTCGGATCAGATTTTTTGGGCTCGAATGCAACTCTGCTACTTACTACTTGTACTACTATTCCTACTTCACGGTTCTTCACTTATCACAGGGCTTCAGGGTATGGATCCCCCGCGATAAATGAGGGAATACTGTACATCAATCAAACTGGTTTTGAATAATAAATAATCAAAAACACAATTTCTTTGTTATCCATCTATGTACATAAAACAATAACTAAATAAAAACAACTAGCAACTGCAATGATGTTACTAAAGTACTGATGGTTATTGTGTGATTGTAATATGGCAAAATTTAGAGAAGAATGAAGCGTTAAGATTTATTTTTAAAGGAAATATAAAGTACTTTCTCTTCAAAACAAATTAGCAAACATATGAAATTAGTTTGAAACGCATGCATAAGTTTCACCACAAGTAGGATTGCAACAAGATCCTTTAATCACATCAACATTTCAGATGAAATGTCTCCTTTCTTTGAGTCAGTAAGTTACATTTTGTTAATAAAACATATCCAGGTTGCAACATGCTAGACAAGTGTTAGTCAAGCTCAGCGCTAGTCCTGTTAATATTCATATAACAAAGCACATCTCAGCACCACTAAGTGATAACAACAAATAAAGTGTTCACTTTTGACATAATAGTATTATGTGTTAAAATATTCCACAAGTTACTACTTTGAGGATTGTGTGCCTCTTTACTAAAACACATAGTTTTGCTGCAAATTTGTTTTTTTATCTTATATTTAGGTATATAGATCTGTTGCACTATTTGCTGCTTGTGAAAGACCTATTGATAGAGGTTTTTGTATAGTCTTAGTGTTCTTGGAAAGATTTATGTAGATTTTTTTCCATATATAATAAGAATGTTGAGTGCATGTGGGAACATGTAGTAAATCTTTCCAAGGTCCAATTAATGCCTAGAATAAACCTAATAAAATGTGGTGTCAATGATGCACAAGACCAAAATAAAGACATGATTAAGTTTAAACCCATCTGTTTATTATAATTGAGAATGTATATTTACTTCATCATAAATTGTATCAGATTGAAGCACTGAGGAAGGTATGGTAATGCATTGTTTCTTCAAGACAGTTTTGCAGGAGCATTTTCATACTCCAAGATATTTTCTACTGAGCTGTGATATCATATGAGTTGATTTAAAAAAAAAAATATATATATATATATATTATTATTATTTTGTTTTTGATATTTTTGGCATTACTTTGCATTTTCCTTCATTACTTTTTTCCTTCAAAAATATAATTAATTTTCAGGGTTATTTGTGTATAATTTAGTTTAGTTCAATTGAACACACTTGCGTAGATGTTTTTTGTTTTCATGAAAAATCAGCTAATCTTTTTTTTCCAAATAAAGATCTTTATCCTTTTTTTCTGAACTCACAGATGATAATTATGTTCTCAAGCCATTTATAGTTGAAGCTTCTTATTAACGCCTGTGTAGTATGTACAGTAGTCCCTCACTTATTGTGGAGGTTACGTTCCAGGCACCCCCACGATAGGTGAAAATCTGTGAAGTAGGGACATTATATTTATTTTAGTAGTTATATAAATATATCCTTATATAGTGTCCTACTTGATATAGGGAACGTTGCACCGGGTAAGAGCTCAAGGAGTCGGGTGTCGGGGTCTGACAGTGGTGGAAGGGACGCACCTGGAGGGCTGACGTGTTGCCTGCATGTTGGCCTTTGCCCTCCTTCCCCAGCTGGAGCGAGTTTCCTCCACCAGTCCTAGGCAAGTGCATGAACACTGGCAAAGCGGAAGAAGGTCTCCACCGGCAGCCGCGCCTCGCGAGCACCTCAGGCTCGATGGGAGAAGTTGCCCCCCGGATGCACACCCAGAGGTGTGCAGATGGGGAGGGAAGGAGGATGGAGAGGCCCATACGGACGCCAAAGGTACAGACGCTGGAGGTACGTTCCCCGGACCGGGGACTGGGCTGCACAGTCCTTAAAGAGCACAGCGAAAGAGAGCAGACAGAGCCAATCAGCACCTGGGATACAGAACACAATGCTCTGGTTGGTCGCCTTCCATCAGCCAATCGTGTGTCGTGTACATTCTTACGTTAAAAACTTGCAAAACAGTGAGTCCATGAAAATCGAACCGTGAAGTAGCAAGGGCCTACTGTAATGCAAGTTCTTTTAAGTCTGGCCTGCTCGGTAATTGTCAACATCCAGGTGATTATTTCAACATTTGTTACAATGCTCCAAACACTTTTGAATGTTTTGCTATTACTAATTCAGACTTTTGTTGGATTTTAACTTTTTGGCTTTTAGCTTTTTCTTTCCCATTACTACATATAATGTTGTGGGTTTTTTTTTTTTTTTTTTTTTGCTTGTTTGTTTTTTTCTGAATGCCTATCTAGCGTTCAAGATGAGTTCTTGAAAAAAATATAAAAAGAAACAGTCATGGCTATA